AAGCACTGGCAACCTTGCGGTGCAACAATTCACACCATGTGAATGCTTAAATATAAATCATGAGAAATACACACAATCCATTGTGTGCACACTCTGGGGCCAACCGGTGTGAAGCAATAAAACAGAGAAAAGAGTAAATATATCGCGTGCAGCTGGAATACACTGGTCACGCTCTATCTCCTGCTCCCGCGTACCGGGCCTAATTTCACATTCAGATTTTACATTCATGTCTAATTAGGAATAGCTCTTTCTCTCTACTCATTATCGCTGTTTGACCTTTTGCTTGGGCTGTTTGAGAAACTGAGCAGTAGTCAATGAGTGGTCAGTGATAATGGCTTGTCATTTAGCTCAACACATGCTGATTAAATAAGATAGGCCCATGCGTATATACCAGCCTGTTGTTCCCAAATGGGCTCGGCTAATACGGGGCACCTCCTGTAGTCATAAAGATGCTTGGACAACAATATAGCTTCAACAAGCTGCACAAGAACAAGAAGACGCAGCGAGATCAAACAGTCCCTCTGCTTACTGGGACTTTCCCCCCTTTCAGATTTTACCCAGTCTCCCTTATGCAGGCATTCATTGGCATGAATTAATAATACCACTTCAAACAGATGCAAATTCATTGTACTGTGTCCTCTCCTGTTTTGACAAATGCTAAGGTATGTAGGCAGACTCCATCTGAATCCGCTGCTGTGATGAATTCTCCCGAGAATGTGGTGCCTATGCCAAAACTAGACTCCCGTGGCCTTTTGGACCTCTAAGTTTTATAGACACAGCATCCGCACAATGTATATTGATCCCTGAGACACTGCAAAGCGAGTGCTGCGCAATGTGTTCTTGCATTTAAATACAAGAACATCATTTAAGTGCATCTTAATTTAGCGTATAAAAACAAGCAGCACACAAATATACGTGAGCGCAGACGGAGACACGCACGACACTCACACAAATGTTGGCAGCGAAGTAGGCTCGGTATGTCTTTCATAAGCTGTGTCTGTGTGTGGGCTGCTGTGGCATGCATAAAATATTATTTTCTCAACAACTCGAGGTTGTGGAGGAGTTAGTTCAGGAAGGGGTGGGAGGGAAGGCCAGGGGATATACAGTATTTGGGCAGCTGACAGCTGCGTGCGCGTACGTCTGCGTGGGAGTCTTGGAAACGGGAGTGGGAGTCACTGGCGTTTGAAATGCAATGAGGTGCTTTTGAAAGGAGCGCCTGTCACAGGTAAGCAGGGTAGCGAGTGCAAGAAGTGTACAGTGATAAAAGGAGGAGAGGAGAAGTGCCCGTGCTTTAGGGTGGCGTTCGGTATCTGAGGGCTTTTTGCACAGTCTGAGGAAAGCACTCAACGCCACACACACTTAAATACAAAAGCTGCTGAAACATACATATACGCTTTGATCCTTTTGGGAACAATCCTCAGATTTTAGGGGACCAAAGTAAAAAGCTTTTTTTTTTTTAGCCTTGGTTTTGGGACCAAAGAGTGTGCGTGTGTGTGTTGAAGCTTTGTTAAGCCCAGAACAAAGACTTGATTCCATTGCTCAAGGTGATTGAGAGATGCTCTTGATGTTCCCTTCGCTTTCATGCATACTGTAAGGATAAAGATATGCCTTATAAATCAATAATTCCTGCATCACGTGCTCGGAGCCCGTCTTTGGTGCAGTGATGTCCTCCCCCTGTATCATTCTGCGTCCTCTGTAGTGCAATCTCCTCCTCGCTCTTCACTAGCTATTGAATGTCAGAGCAGTGCTGCTTAAAAATATAGCTTTCTTTTAAATCCTGCTCAGTTTATACATGTGGATTTTGAAGTGGAATTTATTAATGTCATGCCCTTTCAGGGATATGACTAATTATGAGAGAAAGGTTTGAAGGAGAATGTGTCGCCTGGGTGAGGTTATATAGCTGTTTCATCTGTCAACACTTTGAAAATGGTTCACCGTGCTCACACATTAGGGCTCTTACTGTTGTTGGTTAATCAATAGCTACCTCTCCATGCTCACTTCTTTTCTTCCCCTTTCCTTTTCTCGATGGGAAGCAGATGACAGGCTTAGGAAAGGACAGGCTTTGACGATGCTGTCAAAATGTGTGTGTTTTTCAGGACAGATTATACCACCCCCCTTTTTTTCTAGAGTGCTGAAGTGCTATCGAAAAGTTTTTTTTGTCTTTAGAAGAAAAAAAAAAGAAGTAATAATTGAAGATGAAAATACTGGATTCTTGCCTGTAGGTTGAAGGCTGTGGAGGTGTTAATTTGGTTGTGAATGCTTGGAGGAAATGTAAAATGAAATCTGCGAGAATTTATGGTCGTGAAGCGTATGCATCGGGAAAGGTCACAGCTCTGTCATTTAAAAGAGGAGAAAAAAAAAAGATTTCAATAAATGGTTGGCTCTGTCTCCGGTGAGATACTCGAGCTGCGTATGGCTGACTGGGTGATGCTGGAGCACTGGTGGAGAACAGAGGGGAGAAAGAGTGATGGAGCACATCCCTAACACCCTTCCGGAGAAAGAATACCCCAGTTAACTCTTAACGTCCCCCGAGATCAGGCCATCCACTGCAAGGGCAGAATAATACTGTATCTCTGCTGCAGCTGGTGAGCATTGTTGACAGCACTGATCCAAGATCCCTTATTAGAGAATGAGAGAAACCCCTTCAGCAACGTCACCCTGGAGAGAGGATGGTGCTAGGCAGGGGGATTGAGAGAGAGAGAGAGATGGGGGTGAAATAAAGCAGAAAAATAAGAGAAATTGTAGAAAATTGAAGGAATATTTTTAGAAGACTGCACAGGAAGAGGCAACCACACTGAGGGGAAAATAAAGGAGATAATCAACAGAGAGAATTACAAACTATTGAGAGAATAATTGTTAGTTTCTAGTTGCAACGTGCAACGGCTGCCTTTTTTGGTTTCCGTGGTGGAAAGATTGATCACCGGCCAATCGAACGCAGCCCACAAGGAGCAAAGAGTTCCGAGAAGTAGAAGCTGTGTTGGCTTTGCAGTTTGCATGTATGAGACTAAGTAATGCTCAAGGAAACTGCCTCCAGCTGTGAAGTGAAGTAGTGCAGGGATACTTGGAATCCAATATCAGTGCTAAGGCTTGAAGTAGCTTTAAGGCAAAGCTGCATTATAGATCTAGCCCTTGTTTCATGACAGCATGTGAAGTGCAACGTACCCCGAGCACGCAGGTTTTAATAGATGTGTCATAGGGGATGAGCATGCTCGTAATCAAGGGGAGAGGACGGGTGGCAGGACTGCGGACAACTTCCCATTAAAGTGATTCCTGCCAGACTACCATCTTAGCATTCACACCAGTAGCGGTTGCTTTCTCTTTAGACTCTCACATCGTCTTTTATGAACCTCTAAATCCACCTCTGTGCTCGCTGTTCCTCCCTGTACACCCCAGCTGAGCTTCCATGTTTTCCAAATAGGGCAGGAATAATTAGATGAGCAAACATGGTCTTATGGAGAACAAGCTCATCTTTTTTTGTTTCGACCAACTGCATTTATTTATTTATTTATAGCCTGATGAGATACTGTTTAATTAGGTCGTGTCACTTTAACTATAATGCGGTGACACCAGATTCAATGCAACTGACATTACGTCTGAAATGCACTCTAACCAGCACCATACAGCTTCTGCGGCTCTAATGAGCCTTATTATCAAATAAAATGTTGTCTGACTTTGCTCCAAAAACTTTCCCCAGCATGAAGTGTATTAGATACACTGTATCATAGCTGTACGCCAGGGCTAGTTATAAAACATTACTTTCATTTTCTTTGTGTCATCCTGTCCTTAATAAGTCTCTCCTGTATAGCAAGGCCAGTCCCCCCCCCCCACCCACCCACCCAACCACCCCCTCTCCACATCTATTATCGCTCTCCTCCATAGACAATAATGTTCAAAAAGAATCACAGTAAAACACTGTGACATTTCAAATCTCTGCAATGAGCTGGTTGTCAAGGAGATGTCTCAGTGAGATGTGTCAGGCAAAAAGAGGAAGTGCTCTTTTAAAAGAGCGTTTACCCAGCCACCGGAGGTGTAATGTGCCTGCCATTAGGACTCTGCAGGCAAATAAGGGAGTTAGAGAGACGCACTGTTCTCCACAGTGTAAGAAAGCACCTTTAGAGATCCGGGGGGAGTCCTTCTGAATCCTGATCAAAATCCATTAGAGTCTTGCGCAGTTAAAGGGAGCATGGTCCTGTAGTGACCAGGCAGCTGCATATTGACACACTGACACACACTGGTCATTTCTGCACCAGCCAGGCACAGTTAACATGAAACGGACAAGGACCTGGAGATCTTTCCCCCTCACTGAGGTCTCCTCTTGGATAACCTCATCCCCTTGGGGGGGAGGGGTGGGTGGGGTGGAACTGTTTAGAGCGGACTGGCCGATGAAACTGACGAAAAGTGCCAAAAACTATTGTTGATAAAAGATGCATACTGCTGTGTTGTGTTGGGGGGATATAGCAAGACAGGCTGAAAGGCGGGTAGACTGAAGCAGCTGTCAAAATGGTTGTTTGTAGCCCCGCGCGTACAGCGCTTTGGGGAAATAATAAACTGCATCATTAGAACCCCTGTCATTCACAAGTTGTTTGTAGCAGGCTGGCTGTAAATACCCACTCCAATGCATCGCACATAGAGCACAGGTCAGAATCATTAGGTGGCTAATTTAGCAAAGAAAAACACATCTTATGAGATGGTGTGCAGGTGTAATAACACACCAGGCCCACTGCAGCCATAAATTAATGCCATATTCCATCTTCTGCTTAAAAGTAATTGAAGTGAATGCTGTTGATGTTTAAGGCTTTCTTTGGGTCCTATATATTTCCTCGCAACAACATGGAGTTTATTTTATTTATACTTTTTTGTATAATTTTTATAATGGGTTTTTTTTTATGGGGGGTGGGGGTGAAACTGCACCTCTGCAGCTCTCGGGCCTGTTGCTCCGTGGGACCGGATGAAAAAGCGAAACTTTTCCTCGTCTTAATGAGTCAGCATTCCAGCGCAGGACCACGGTGTGCAGCCATATGGCACCACCTGAACGAGTCTGACTAGTGATCCAGACGACCTCCTGACGCCTGCAAGTGTTTGTGTCTGTGGCCGGTCTGTGCCACACCCCCTTCTCCTCGGTGCGGTGGTATGATCCAGGGATACTGTTATAGCACCACCGAGCCTCACCAGCAACAGCATCATCGGGTTCAACTGCGGCTAAACGCACCGCGCCGGGATCCCTGTCACACCGCACAGCGGAGCTGGCTCGCGCAGGAGATCCCTTCCTCCCCGCGCAAAATCGTCTCGTCGTCCTCCATCGGCATTTCAGAGCGAGCATCATCAGCATCATCAGCACCGCCGCCTCGAAACCAGACCGCGGAGAGAGGGTGTCTCGTCCACATTTTTTAACCGGAGCTCAAGTCACATTTCTGCCGGTGGTGGGGAGGGGGGATAGCACACACTTCGGCTTTTGCAGGCTGCTTATAGCACGGAATCGGACTAAAGGGATGGCTTTACGTCGGGAAGGTAAGCGGCACGTTCAGTTCTGGCCTTTTTAGTGGGCTCATTAAGCGGGGGAGGGAGATCGGGCTACGGTGCTGCTTGGCTAAACGAGGCTCGGGTGCCGAGACAACGTGAGTTTCACGGGAATGGTGATTATCAGCTGTTCTGATGCGCCGTGCAGTGCTATGACCTGTGCGTGTCTGTGCGCGCGTGTGTGTGTGCAGTGTATGACAGAGTGAGGCAGACACGCAGAGAGGGGGAGAGTATATAAACGTGTGTGTGTGCGTGTGTATGTGAGTGTGTTTGTGTACGTGTGTGTGGTTGGGCTTTTATGAAAACCAGTGCACCTCGTTTGAAGTGTGGGGATGCAGACTTTGTGCCTGTGTGTGTGACAACCTGTCTAAATGATGACGATCCGAGTACAGTGCGCGGAGCAGCAGGCTGCCAGCTTTGTATGTGTCGTAGCCGTTTTGAACACTCACAGCCTTGAGTTGTTGGGGTTTTTTTGTTGTTGTGTTTTGCTCCACTTCTGACTCGTCCGCTTTATCTCCATCAGCAATCAGATCCAGAGGGTGTAGATCTCTCTGACGCGCCTACCCGGGCCCGGGCTAGACATTACCACCAGTATAGGTCCAACAGGCACCGTGACCCACTGTGTTTCTCTGTTATTTTTACATCTCTCATGTCAACTCCTAGCCCTTCTGGATGGCTGGTGAGGCAATTTCTGGCCTAAATTATTGAGCTGCGTGATATCTATTTTCCACGTTGGCGCAGTTTAAAAATGTGTGAGGGTAAATAATTAACAGGCGGCAAATGCATTTTGATAAATCATAATTATTGTGAAGGCAGCGCAAATTGCACCGAGATGGATAGGCTCTGAGAGACTTAAATTAGACCTCCTCACTTCTACCCTTCACAGCAGATTATAAATAATTGTTTGGAGTAAACCACTCAAGGCACATTTCCAATAAATAAATAAATAAGTCATAGATAAGACAACAACAAATAAGGAAAACAAATATATGAATAATGCAGATTTCTGAGGAATTCTCCAGATATATTATTCCATTAGCTTTGAACTCTCATTCCACATCTTTTCCGATGGTATTAAATCTGGCTTTGTTTGATTGAGGGGAGGCAAAAGCATTTTAATCATAAGCTATAATTCATCAGCATCTCTAATACATGCATCTAATGCATCACCCACTACAGCCACTGTACACATCTCTCAGAGAGCTGCATTAGTGTTTGGACTGTTTCACCCATCTGGCATACCTGATTCCTGCATTATTATTTTGGAGTGTTCAAAAAAAAGAAAACAACAAAAGCAAACCAACCCGGTGTGGCTTCTGCTGCAAGCTTTGAACTGTGGGGATTTTTGTCACACGGTGTAACCCTCCCGTGTCACTGCCCTACCTGGCTTTGCTCACAACGAAGCTGTAGCTGTGCTTTATTCTTCTTCGGCTTGCACGTTATTGATAGTCATGATAAAAATCAGGCACTTTGTCTCAGCTCCATGTGATTAATAGAGTGCATCTTGTACAGGAGGCTTGATAACACACATACACACATGCTCTCTTCTTCACCATATGGACGCACACTCTTTTAGTCACATTAGTCATAGGGAGATGATGTGCATGCACTGGACCAGCAGAGGTTGATGGTTGGTGCTCTGGTGTAGATTGGCTTCGCATCGTGGCGGCGGCCTTCTTGTCATTCGCATAAATGCAGATGACTTTCAGTCCTTCCGCAATGATCAACAGTGATTAAATGCATATTTTTTTTAAATGGCACACCCATAATGGCAACACCTTAACAACAGGACAGGCCTTTGAATTGAAATGTCACTTCAGCAATTAAATGCTGCGCACACACCACTGATAAGGCCTTCCTGTCAGTCAACCAACTCACCACACCACCCTTCAATCACTCGGATATTCCAGATTGTACATTTAAACTCGAGCTAGCACACACACACACACACACACACACACACACACACACACACACACACAC